TGAGGTCGACATGGAGCTGATGACCTTCTGGTCACCGTGCATGATGACTACGTTGCCGTCAACAACATCCATGGAGCGTCTCCAGCTTACGCCAAATCCTTCGCGGCCAAGGTTTGTCACAAGCTTCTTACCTTCGCCGTTGTAGTCTAGCTTGTAGACGGCATATTCAAAGCTCCGTTCTCCCTGGTCAATAACATAAACCTCTTGTTTGACTGGATCCACTGCCAGGCCTGCTGGGTAGCCCAGCTCTGTCGGCAGCACTCGCACGTCGCTTCCATCCAGGTTGACCACCTCCAACTTGTACGGGCCAGCCTGTTCGGTGGCAATACGGAACAGCAGCCGGTGAGGGATGTCGTACGCAGCGAAATACCTGACGTTGCCGCCCGACTTACCCAGCTTGGCGCACCGATCGAACATGTAGCTGCAGACGTAGTTGACCCGCGACACCGTCAGGTACCAGTTCTCCTCCACCCAGTCGAAGGCGACGGCGTCTACCTTGCTGACGCTGAAGTCGCGCGGCTGCGGCAGGTCCCAGGTCTCGTTGAGGCTGGTGATGGGCGCGCAGCGCATGACGCCCGCCACGCTCTGATCCTCGGGCGAGCTGACCCAGCAGGCGGTGCCGTTGCGCGGGTTGGTGGCCACGTGCCAGGCCTGCCACCACTGGGACACCTCGGGTCGCCAGGCGATCAGCGCGCCGCTGGCGTCCAGGTGCAGTATGCCGCTCTCCGAGACGGCCACCACACTGCCGTCCATAGCGGGGGCGGGGGCGGGGGCGGCCAGCGGCAGCAGCGCCGCGGCCGCCGCCAGAACTCGGACCGCCGGCTGCATGCTCCTTCTGCGGGCCGGTCGCAGCGCGACTGACGCTGGGAGGGTGCCGCGCCTGCCACCAGACGCCGGCACTTCGGCCGGACACCGCCGCCGGCTGCCGTCTGTTCCTCCTCAAGGACCCGCAGACCAATCAGCGTCCAAGGTCAGCGCTGGGATGGGCCGCCAGTAACAAATTACGGGGTATTATTGAGGGGCGGTGAATGCGCCTGGTCACAGGTTTCCGAGAAGTACTTTTTGAACTCATTAGTCCAATAAACAGCAGGAAGGCTTCTTCTGGCTCTCCTCGTTCAGCTATTCAGCATTTCATACACTGGACCTTGGAACGTGTCGGTCTTCAAGTGGAAATAATCATTCAACCAGCTTTTATCTTTTCGTTATTCATTCATGCTCTGTTCTTCACGTTCACAGACAACTCTACCCGTGTTATCAATTGATTTTTACTGTCGTTGCATTTATCTCATTCTTTTAAACGATTCAGTACAGGCAGTGGATTGACGAGTGCTTTGTGCGTCCTGTCAGGGGGCTTGTGCCGTCGCCCGTGACAGGGCACAGGCTACCATAGAATTGGCTGTTTACAGAACGTTCTACACACTGAAAACTTTTTTACCATTTCCTGAAGGGTAAACCCGCCATAGCATGGTAGCTTGACACACAGACGTTTTTTACCACCTTCCAGATGGTAAATTTTACTCTTTCATGAAGAGTAAACTCGCCAGGGAGGGGTAACATGACACACAGACGTTTTTTACCATCTTCTGAATGGTAAACTCTTTTGATTTACTCTTGTCTAGAGTGTAACATTTTTTGGGTTACACTCTTTGAAAGGGTAAATCTTTAACGGAACCCTTTTTTAGGGAGTAACGCATCATCTACTCTGTGCTTTACCCTCCTACAGAGAGTATATTCTTATGGCCTACCCTTTGTCACATGGTAATGTTTACTCTTTCCTTTAGTGTAAACCCCCCAGAGGATGGTAACAGACCCACAGACGCTTCCTTTAGAAGCTTCACGAAGCTTCTGTTAACCGGAGCTCACCAACTAAAAAAAAAATGTTTCAAGAGCAACAATGTAGGTATATTTGGCTTCCGTACAAACAATACGAGGGGCACACCAACCATGAACATTGTGAGACTCTTCACTTATTCATACAAATTTATACAAAGCGTTCAGCAATGCACAAGCGGTAAATAAACACCACGATACAACTTGAATGCAATTTGAATATGAATACAAGACATTCAGCGCCCTCATATTGGATTAGGCAGAGCGCACAATATTTGAAGTGAGCGACGGCGTTCCTGGGTGGTCGCCCGTCTGCGTGAGATAATGAGACTGGATCACTACAGTGCAAGGCTTTTTCAAAGTCACCAACAAAATGCATAAACTTGTAGCATCACAACAAAATTAATGTACGTACTCACAACACTAGGCCACGTGGCCGTGCACGGGGTCCTGTTAACCAGGTCAAATTAGCACCACTCAAAGGCACGCAATGCTCTAGCACATCGGTACTTACAATAAAATGTCCACAGAGGCTCTATAGGCGATGAACAACACACAAGCACAATCACCAACGGCCACGCCGCGCGGCACCGACACTGCTCACATCCGCTCTCGGAGACCAACGGCCGAAAACTGACAGATGCGCGCGGCCTTCAAACCGCAAACGGCCGATCTCGTTTCTGATTGGCTGATTGTTTCCATTTCAAATATCATCTTCACGAGGGTAAACAAGATCCACGCATGAAACGACTATCTGTACCCGAGTCACGATACCCAGGAGGAAAGAGTTTTCGTGATGTTCTGGATCGCGAGAGTAATATTGATATTTACATGGTAATAATACTCTTCGCTGGCGAATAAGTTCATATTAACCACGTACCGTTACTATGCACATAATGGTAGCAGCGAGTTACCCTTTCAATATACTATTATCTTGCGGGTTTGATGAAAATGAACTCTCCAGGAGGTAGTAAAAAAGTTTTGAGTGCATACCTAGAGATTGTGGCGAGGTCAGCCGTATTATATATCGCCCATGGCTCATTGAGCGAGAATGAACCGTAATCACATGTGCATTTTCCGAGGATTGTTCTAAATAAACGAGTTTTTGACACACTGAAAACAATTTCACCCGAAGCTGGCGAATTAAGTGTTGCTCTGCGGGTGGTATATGTGTATTAACTCGCCATGTCCAGATTCTAGCTAGAGGGTAAGCAGACTTGCCTGCCTTATTACTCGTAAATATGCACTGTACCCACAGTTTGCAGTAAGGTAGGTACCCAGCACCGGATATTGTCCCCGCGGGTGTCGAGTCATTGGCACAGCCCTCACAGAAAGAGTTGGAACTACTCGAGGCATCGTAAACGCGTATCCGTGGATGGCGAACCTTTACATAACCTGCCCTGAAGGAGTTGGATCTACTGTTACAACTAGATGGCGTTGTCTCATACAGTTTTGAATTACAACAATTTTTAAACTTTTTTTTGAACCAATTATATGTTGGCACATTGTTTGGCGGTTTCCAAGTGGGGGCGAAAGTACAATTGTTAAGGTGCATCTTTAAAACCTCTGCAATATTCATCACGGGACTATTGGCAAGGCTTTTTCTTCCGAAACTACCAAGTGAGACCATTTTTATTCTTATATAGGTCACGAAAGCAGCAGCGACACATCTTCTTGATTTCGGGCGGTCTGCATGACTGCCGGTGACTGAGTCATGTCGAAATTTCTATGGGAATTCGATGTGACATTTCCCACCGATGTGAAACTTTCTCACCGATGTTTTCTAGGTGTGAGCTTGCTATAATATAGATATTTTCCCGCAAATATGGTCAAGCGTGGGAGTTTTTTTGGCCCTCGTGACTTGGTCGGCGAAGGGTAGGCGTGGAGGGTAACCCCATCTCCTAGGGGTTTGTGGGGCGCTGCTGCCAGGTAGGCGTCGATGAATACCTTTCGATGGAGGGGTCACGAGCCACTGGTGCGCGAATAGTCGTGGAGGGTTACTACTCTCCAGAGTGAATTGCGAAAGTGTTATGTCCTAAATTGACTCCTGGGAGGGTGGTTAAAAATGGTTGCGGATAGGGGTACCCGCGAGGCACCGGTTTACTCGCCAGTTTTGGGTGAAATTGTTTTCAGTGCAGGCTGATAGCCTTACATGTCTAGCTTTTGATCATATTCAACAGCGGGATGTGGTTGGGGAAAGTGGGGTAAGACGGGCGGGGTAGGAAAGACGGGCACCGGCCCTCTAGCCCAAACCGTTGGCGCTAGCAACCTCTTGTTGTGGTTGGTAATCGGCCGTGTGGTTCTTTGCTGTGAGGTGAAGGCAGAGGTACGCATCTTAAATAGTTTTTGAAAAATTGTGGAAAAGCTAAAAACGTGCCTTGCACTCTAAGCAGAACTATCGTGTTTCGTAGTGTTTTCTGACCTCGCTGTTTCATATTTTGTTTTGGAAATTTGATGAGAGTTTCGTCTTAGGGTGTCATCCAAATGTGTATGCTGGCGAATGAATCCTTTAATTTGGTGCCCGGAGGCGGTGTGATATCCTTATTGGCAGCCGAATGGGGTAAGACGGGCAACAATGATGAAAGGAATGCAAACCATCTGATATTGTTATTTTAAGCTAACTTACGCTGTTCTACATCATTTGCAACGCATTTCCATCGAAATTATTTAAATAGACAGCTTTGAATTTGTTTAATTTTTTCATTACATCGATCAATACCATTACGCCTATAAGTAGCCGTGCGATGCTACGAACCTTACAATATTGACTGTAAGATCAAAAGCCAGATGTGTAAGATGTATTAGCATAATTATTCGGCAGTAAATATGTAAAGAAGTTCAAACTAACGTTGTGCCCGTCTTGCCCCAACATCAGTGCCCGTCTTACCCTCCCCGGTGGGGTAAGACGGGTTTTTGCAGGGTCTTGCTAAAAACACTCTCAATTGAAAAGTATTGGATTTAGACCTTAGGTGTCAAAGGGGCACTGAAAGAAAAATGCCTGAAGATGGTTGTGCTAAATTGGTGAAGCAATCGAAGAAAAGACTTCAGAGGTACAGACCCGCAAAACTAACATGCCCGTCATACCCCACTTTCCCCTTTATGTTATGCAATATGCGTGCTCGACTCGCTTATGTAACCATGCTCTCATAGATCTATTTGTTCCGCTGCAGCATCCACAAGTACATCAGCATGGCGCGACCGTTCAGCAGGTTCATGACTCGGAGGAGGATCGTGGTGATCCTGGCCGCCGCCTGGCTCTGGTCCATCTTCTACAACCTCACGCCGCAGCTGGAGCTTACACATACGGGTAGGTGTTCTCACCGGAGCTCACACACTCCGGTAGGTATTCCCATTGTAGCAGTGCAGCTTACACATACGGGTAGGTAGGTGTCCTCACTGTAGCTCATATATACGGGTAGGTAGGTGTTCTCACTGGAGCTCACGAACTCCCGTACTGGTGTCCTCACTGGAGCTCACACATACAGGTAGGTGTTCTCACTGGAGCTGATACATACGGGTAGGTGTTCTCACCGGAGCTGACACATACGGGTAGGTGTTCTCACTGGAGCTGACACATACGAGTAGGTGTCCTCACTGGAGCTGACACATACGGGTAGGTGTTCTCACTGGAGCTGACACATACGGGTAGGTGTTCTCACCGGAGCTGACACATACGGGTAGGTGTTCTCACCGGAGCTGACACATACGGGTAGGTGTTCTCACTGGAGCTGACACATACGGGTAGGTGTCCTCACTGGAGCTGACACATACGGGTAGGTGTTCTCACCGGAGCTGACACATACGGGTAGGTGTCCTCACTGGAGCTGACACATACGGGTAGGTGTTCTCACCGGAGCTGACACATACGGGTAGGTGTCCTCACTGGAGCTGACACATACGGGTAGGTGTTCTCACTGGAGCTGACACATACGGGTAGGTGTTCTCACCGGAGCTGACACATACGGGTAGGTGTCCTCACTGGAGCTGACACATACGGGTAGGTGTTCTCACCGGAGCTGACACATACGGGTAGGTGTCCTCACTGGAGCTGACACATACGGGTAGGTGTTCTCACTGGAGCAGTGCAGCTCTGTGCACCGGTAGGCGGTAATCATTCTTTGAATGGGCGCGATGCTGGAAGCTTATTTATTTTTCATTGAATCATAGCTGCTACTGCTATCAAATGTATCATGTCTCTCATGTTTATTTGAATTGATATGTCGCATGGTATGGTTAATTAAACGGTGTTCACTATTTTTGACATAGACTTGTCATAAGACAGAAGCGGTCAGTGAAATAAAAGATAAGGAATGATTTTTTTACGAACATCTGTCTTCTGTAACGAATTCTTACTGTATGCCTGGCCTATTCAAATACATTAGCCTGAGGGGTGTGGTAATAACTGGTGTAAGCAAAGTGACCACGGTCAAAAATGAATTACCAAGTCAACATTTTGGGATGGCCTCGTTCAAAAAAATGGCTAAGAGCTTCGGTCTAGACAATTATTTTATCGTTGGCATACAGTAAAATACATACCAAACTCGGCCGGTGATAAATTTTCAAGACCTCAGTCCTTACTGATTTTTGAACTCGGCCTTCGGCCTCGTTCAAAAATTTAGTAAGGACCTCGGTCTTGAAAATTTATTTACACCGGCCTCGTTCAGTATTGTATAACACCACATCGACCGATTTGTATGATAGCGTTTTATGTACCTAGCATGTGTTCATAGGCGCGGGAACTGGGGGGAGGGCAGTGGGGGCAGCTTGCCCCCCCCCCAACTCTGGGGCCGTGGTGGCGGTGCCTCACAACTTTGAGACGGAAAACTGCACTTCTTTGCAAATATTTTCTTTTTTGTTGAAGAAGCCAAGGGATGAAAAATAGGTGGCCTAAAACCGGCGAGAAAACTAGATTTGGGGGTACCCCAGGTTGATCTCTGTTATGGTGTGCCCCCCCCCCCGTCTGAAAGTAGTTCCCGCGCCCTTGCATGTGTTAACGTCAACTGCAACAACTTCCACTATTGCTGGTATTAGAAGCACCCGACTACGTAACAGACCGTTAATCTGTAACTGTTCGCTGTGTTGCAGTGTATAAGGAGGGCGCTACTCAGTGCGGCCCAGCCATCCCGCGCGATTCCAAACAGCACATTCACAGCGCCGTCAACAGCACGTTCAACTTCTTCCTGCCGCTCGGCGTCATGCTATTCTGCTACACCAGGATATTCGTCAACTTTCGACAACACCTAAACAGGTATAAGTGTGCACCGATTGCTGACAGATCGCAAACAATCGATCTGTATAATTGATAAAGTCTGAATATTTATCGAAACGTATACCGTATTAAAAATATCAATGAATATTCAAATTGGATTAGACGGAGAAACTTAAAATCGACATCGGAATATCATAAATTAAAGCACTTAACTGACTGGTTGACTAACTCGCTCACGATTAATGAGTGTCTCCACCCCCTGACGTCACTGCCTACCAATGGCGTCACTGTCTCTGTACTGACGTCACTGCTGACGTCACTGCACAGGATGGGCGAGACGTCCAACATGGCGGAGCGGCGCCGTGTGCTGCAGCAGCAGCGGATTGCCGTCACACTGTTCCTCGTGCTGGCGTGCTTCCTGCTCTGTCACGTACCCTACATCGTGTACTCGACGGGGCTGGTGTACGCCGGCCAGGAGCACATGCCCATCATCATGAATCCCATAGTGAGTGGACGGGGCATAGCCTTGGACGGGACATGTCCGTCATTGTACCTATTGTCATTCTATGCCCAGTACTGAGTAGGAAGGGGTCCTTCACATGTTTATCACGGGGTTTTAAATGGGATAATTTTATAGTTGGTGCAAATCGTGAATGATAGGTAAAATATTCCCCATCACTTCATCATTGATTGAAGCTCTGAGCCTCGTTTGTCACTGTCGTGTTCCGATTGGATAAATGAGCCGGCTTTGCGGCCAGAATTTGTATAAGAAGACGTTGGTCATATCCCAGAGTTCCTTCGGCGCGATTGAATGCGGAGTCAAATTAGGAAAGCGGGAAATTCCTGGAAATTGCTAAGACGTGGAATGCTTATTGATGGAACCGGAGACCGCCGTGTAACAGTCAATTTATGGACTAGGTAACGAAGAGGCCGACAAATTCTGAGCCATTGTTATTAGTGACTCAGCTAGCTATATAGCATGGTCTATGGCAAACTCTGGAGATTTCTTTTTACTTATGCATTTTCTTCGAGAACGAGAACTACTGACGATTGAACCAAGAGCGGGAAGGGGGCAACAAACCCGCATTTATCGATTCTGACAGCATACGAGCATAGTGCTGTTTTCAGTCGGGCTGGTAGGTCTGTAAATACCTCAATTCACACCCTGTCGCTGTTCTCAGTCTTACTGGTGCATCTACATGAACTCAGCGCTGAACCCGATCACCTACGGAGCGCGCTGCTCGGCGTTTCGGGACAGCTACCGTGACATCCTGCTAGGACGACGGAGGTCGCAGTATGGCGGCAACCAGGGTACGTCTGGCGGTGGTGAGTGGTGGATAGCTTGGCTTGGGAAGTCGGCCTACGCTCTCTACCTTTCTGGACGTTTGTAGCTGTTCGCTCGCCACCCGGACTTATTGTCACATTTTTTTTGTGAACGTTGGAAAGTTGAAATTGGTTTATATTTGAATCAAATATTTTGATTTGTAGAAATAATATAATCGAATCACATCGTTTATCGCTATATTGTGTGCACAGAGGTATTATCCGAGCCGTAAAACAAACTGCTCATGTTTGCAAACCATGTTCTTTATTCGTTTTGGGCTCATTATTTTGCATTCAGAAAAGGATGAACGAGATTATTAAAATGATGAGTTCTGCAGAGATTCTGCCTTAATTTCACATTCAGCTAATGCTGACCACTCTTTATTCTAAAACATGCAAATCCGAGAATCGATGGCTGTGCAATTTCTCATGGAGGATAAATATTAAGGCTTCAAACTTTGCCACAAAATCCTGGCGGGGCAGCGGACGACACGTCTTTGGAGCATCGCTAGATCACCTGCTTCGCTTCGTTTCTGCTCAGCGTTTCACCCCGTGCACCTTTACGTGTGCCTGTCATGTCACCCCTTGTTCACGCTATGCCCTTTACTAGCGCTCATCACTGTCCCTGGCTTGGCGTGGATGTATGTACCCTGTCGAGCTTACCCCCCTCTCCCCGGTCAGCACCTTTGAGTGAGCCAGCTCAATGGGGCCGACTAACCGACCTCTGAGTGTGAAAACTCATGGTCAAAACGCCGAACGCAATGGACACGCTTTCAAATGTTATCACAAAAACATAAATTAGAAAACGAAACGGACGAAAAGTCACATAGATAAAATTCGTCGTAAGCTTATGTACCTAAACATTTTGCTCATTGCTTTGTCAATTGTCTCACAATAAACGTTCGAGCTGTTTCCATTGCGTGTTCTCCACGGGCTGTGGAATGGGTGGAGCAGGGGAGCAGTCGTCCCTTTCCACCGCCCACTATACCTCTGGAACCTCTCTGTATACCGCACGCTGACCGCCGCCGCCACATAGGCGACTGCTGGACCCAGGCGGATGGCGCGCACTACTTGATGGCCCGACTGCGCGGCGGTCGACACGGCAGTGTCCAGTCTGCGCTTCTGCTGCCCGGCCCGCGCTCATCAGGTGACCGCCACACGCAGCCCACTGCTCTGAGCGCCCCAGCTCACTGCTCTGAGCACCCCTCAGCACCTCACGGCTCTGAGCACCCTCAGAAAACGGCTCTGAGCCCCTCAGTAAGCGACTCTGACGCCTGTAGCCAGCGGCTTGACCACCACGCAGCCCTCGATTTTGGTCACCCCCAGCCCCAGGCTTTTGTTGAGCCCACGGACCCAGGCCACGGTCCTGCCTGTCCGAAGCCCACGCCTCTGACGCGTAGCACGACTTATGTACTCAATGTAGGGTTCGTGCCGTTAGAGACACGCAGCCACGCCCCCGTCCGAGGCACGATAGCCAACAAAACACGGAATTAGCGTCATATCGTAGACGCCGCGATGCCATCAAGGGATTGATATTGTGCCAAACGGAGTTTTGTTTAGAGTTCGGAGGCGCTGATGGTCGAAGGGAGGCGGTATTAGATAACTTCGTTAAAGTTAGTCGGATGCACTTTGCAAAGTGTGTAACTGCTAGGCAATCACCTAAGTGTGTAATTGGATGATATCGCCAAGCACACAAGTTCTACAAAGGAACGGATGTTTCTAGAAACGTAGAAGTGAAGCTAGGGTCCCATTCTCTGTAGCCGGAACGTACTTCAAGCTTCGTTGAATGGGCTCGGCTTCATATTCACCCGCGCTTCATTAACTTTAAACGCATTTGCTGCTACTCAGTGACTAAAACCGTCAATAGGAGATGCATCCATACTTAAAAATAGCGATGGCAAATTGCACATAAAAGCTGGGAATTGCATAATAAGAGAGATAACGCCGCTCTCCTAAGGCTTTATTTGAAGACTTATCAATGGTAAAGCAAACACTAGGTACCGCCTGCTACTCTCATTTCTCTCAAGCCCTTTGGCGTTATCAGATTATTTTCCCCGACGATAAAAGTATAGATATTTATGTATGCACTACATCAGTAGCCAATAAAAGAAAAATAGCCGAGAATGCTGACTCTGTACCAGTTACAGGGAGTATAAAGAGCTCCGGCGATCAGAATGCTGTCAGGAAACAGGATCTCCACAACCTGTCCATCAAAGGTAAGGGAACTCAGTCATTGGTTCTGGTTTCTATAGCATGCAGGATACTAATGTAGCTATAGACACGGTCTGGCATGATTATCAGTACCTATGCATGACATTCAAACAACCACCAAATATACCCAACCATAACAGTGTGACTGCCAAACGTTGAACTTGGAGAAGAAACCGAGTATACAGTTTGCTGTGAACGGCCTTAGTAGGTACATATTTTTTCTCGCAATAACTTTTGAACGGATCTCTACACAGCCAGCATGATGCGGGTTATCTTCTCTGTGGTTACACGGTGCCGCTGCCAACAGCTAACGTCCTTTTCATACATATGCATGATTCAGCTTCAGATCAACACTGCAGTATGTGTCCTGCCGCTATTTTCCACCCGATATACTTAGTCCTCATAAGACCGATTAGACCGATATACTTAGTCCTTATTAGTGACCACCTAGTACCTACCCGTTTCGGTACCCCGTTAGGCAGTCGGTGCAACGAATGCCGTAGCATGCCTCCCCAGGGTGACCGTTTACGCGCCTGGGTGCCCTTTGCATTGAAAACGGTGGTCCGTCTTTATATGCACATCCCGTAATTATAGTTCATATGAAAAAGCTAGTAACTCACGTTATATTCTTGTTTAAAATAACGTGAAAGACGTAAATCATTCTGCCATAGATATTTTCGCACTACTTACTCGAAACTTATGTATTACTAGCAGAAATAAAAGATGAAGTAGGTACGATTCCGTTGAATAGCTGATAACCAACACCAACAGAACGTCAAATTCATCCCTTAGTCCTTCAGACTACCAATTCTATGGGGATATCGATCAAACGGCAAACATGTGCACCTCCAGAATCCGCTCCTGGCTGTTAACCTTCCCGACGGTCGGAACAGGGCTCTGTTTCAGGTCCGTTTATTTTTCCAGGACGGCGACTGTTTATACTCGCATTGTCACGGTTCCAGGCGACAGTTAGCGCATGTGTGTACGTGTGTGTGGGAGGGGGGGGGGGGGTGAGGGGGAGGGGGTGGCTGGTGGGGCTTTCAATGCAAACACTGTAACATCATATGCAAACATCATACTTCATCCGGTCTATAAACCGGATGAAGTATGATATTTGCAGTGTACTTCAGTGCGTTAGCATTTTTATTGTGTGTTATTTTGATGCATTCTTCACATGAACTTGCCTCGCATAACCTCAAATAAACACCGATTCTACATGCATGTATCATCTACGAGCAGGTGAGAGCTATATACGAGTAGGTAAAAGACATGTCTACCTCACGGGAAGGTGAGTGTACTAATGTGACAAGCATGGGTGTTTTGTGGTTTGGTGTGGCTCTCCCTTGTCTTGTTATGCTATACGTTTACCATGGTGTCATGGTATTGCGTCTGAATAAAGACCGTTTTAGCTGCATGCGTTTAGTTTTGAATAGCGTCAAATTTACGCATTCGTGAGCAGATAATGCCGTTGATGACGAGGAACGGTACGCGTTACGCATGATCATGCAGCGGTACCTACTTCTCAGAGACAAATATTATGTGTTGCTGACATTATGCTTACTGTTTACATTCATTTAGCAAGGAGCAAATTAAAGGAGTTGCTAATACAGCTTTTGTAGCATTTATCGATAACTGTCTTTTATACCGCTCCATTTCAGGCGGGGACAACTCGCCGACCAACTCTGGCGTTCGGCGCTCCCTCTGGCCAGACAAGCCGCTGAGCGAGGCTGCCACCCTGCGGTCCGGCGGTGTCCTGTGAGCGGCGGGTCGGGGTGGCACCGGTGGGACGTCTGACTGGTCAAAGTGGGACCGGTGAGACGTGTGGCTGGTCAAAGTGGGACCGGTGGGACGCGACACTGGTCAAAGTGGGACGTGACACTGGTCAAAGTTTGACCGGTGGGACGTGTGGCTGGTCAAAGTGGGACCGGTGGGACGTGTGGCGGGTCAAAGTGGGACCGGTGGGACGTGTGACTGGTCAAAGTGGGACCGGTGGGACGTGTGACTGGTCAAAGTGGGACCGGTGGGACGTGTGACTGGTCAGAGAGGAGGCAAGTGGTGGAAGGGTAACCTGAGGGCGTGGTCGTGCTCTGGCGTGATGGAAACACAAGTTCGGCGCCAGAGAACCAACGACGAGACGGTGTGAATGGCTCCGGTGAGGCAGGACTGATTTCGACGAATTGGAACGGCTCAGGTGTGACCTCCTCGCGATAGGGCTGGCGAAGGATAAACTCTGACGTTGTACGTCAAGAGAAACAGTGACTGGAGTGAACATCTGAGTAGCCGCGATGCAGACAAAATGCGACTGTTGGCTAAATATTTTGAACAAAAACCGTTTACTAAGGAGACTCATCCTTTTAAAGTATTTGTCTGATAATTCCTGACCCCTATAAATCTTTATCGTATACTCGCATGTATGTTTGGATGCCCTGTTGATTTTGACGCTATGATGCTCGCCAATGGATATTTCTATTTGCTTGTCGAGAGTAGCTGCAATGTTGTCAACAATTGCGATTCAAATGCAAAATCGTTCATGCACTTTGTGCTGTCAACTGGTATTCAAATCATTTGCAAAGTAATGTGTTTTAATTTATCAGCACTTCATCCACTTAAATATGGAGCCCACCGTGCTTGCAATAATTTTACGCAACTACATACTGTTTTTTTTTTAATGTCCTGTTGTGTCGTCTACCTTCATGACTCTATTATTGAATTGCTTTGATAATCATCATATTTAAGGTCTGTGCAATATGAGATATCTTGTTGCGTCAAGCACGGTACACGTTTTCATACCTGTTGATCTCATTTCCATGTTACAAGAGGTCATGTGAGAGACGTTCATAATGCTGCCTCATTTATTTTGTGTTCTGTTGTAATTGACGTTTTTATGATGTTTCCGTTCCTTGCATCGTATTTTTTATTAATTACGACGAAATGTAAATATATTTAGGTATGCTGATATCGCCTGTAATTGTATTGTCAAAGGCCGAGTTTAAGTCCGAATTCTGGAGGCCATGCTGTCGACTTCTGAGCCTAATGCTACATAGTCAAATTTAATATCAAATATTGATAAAAAGCTTTAAATAAGTTTATGTCTGTAAGAATATTTAATTTCCAGCCACTACACACATACATGTCTCATGTCTGTGTTCGTAAACAGTGCACGGCTGCTGCCAATCTGTGTAGCTGGCGCCTCAGCGATATGGCTGGTGTGTCGTAGATGGCGCTGGTGCCGGCGGAATGTCGGTCGGTCCTTTTCCGTGTCAAGGCATGAATAGCCAAAGAGGCGTCGCTAGGCACTAATTGCGCAGCGCAACACAGCAAACAAACAAACAAACAAGCGAAGGCAGCTACCCAGTAGAAGACCAGCATTCAGGGCCTCCTTCCCATTCCAAACTCTTCTTCATAACCAGATGACCGTCAATGCTGTTTGATCTCTTTTTTTTTTTAAGAAAATAAGTCAAGTAGAACAAACTCTTTCGGAGGCTCGTGGTACTGGCCCTGGTTTTTGCTAAATAGAGTTTGTTGCGCAGGAAAATGAATTTGACTTGGCATTGCCATAATAATGCCAGATGGTCCAGCGCTAGGCGCATACTCAATACTCATGCTATGCGGAACAGTATAGATGCAGGCGCAGACGCTGGTGCCATCTTGCGACAGGTATTTGAAGCTTGCCCTTTGCTAGATGCTGGCCGACTGGCAACTGCTGTTGGATAATTAGATATCTTCACTACACAGCTGAGAACGTGATTCTTCTCAGGATAATCGCTGACTTATCAATTTGCCCATATTGTATGTATTTGCGATCCAGATTTGATAAATATCACTTATGTACATACAATAATCATGTATTTCTATGTAGGTACCTAATTCTAAAGCCACCTAAACATTGCTTGTCACTCAAAGCAATAAGTCAAGCGGTTTGGTTAGAGCGCCATTCTTAGATGTGTCGTTTTCATATATAAGACATCTAATCAGAGTAAGCGAACAAAACGTCACAAATATGAAAATGAAATGGGATGTGCACCAGGCACGGATTTTTACTTGGAACGCACTTTTTCAAATTTTTATCATTGAAGACTTATCTATCATTTATCACGATGCTAAGCAACACTTCAAATGCCAATACACTCAATAAGGGATACATATATACCTATACATGCAAAAGCAATGAATGTGCACGTAACCATCTTGACATCTTGAAAACATACAACACTGTATAGTCCTGCAAATACATACAACACTTATGTCCATATCACGAGTAGAAGATGCTGACCTAACTAACTGCAAAACGTTAAAAACGTTCTTGAGCGAATAACATTAAATTTATACAACCTAAAGGCTAAAAGGTTTGGTAACAGCTTGGGTCGAGCATAATACCGTTTGCCTCATTTAGCAAACAAGGACCGCTATGTTTACCCTCAGTTTCTCACTTTCAATCTCAGTTCCCTGCCACTGCGGAGTTGGCTCTGGTCGTCCGCGCCACTATCAGGCGCTGGTGGCCACCTCGGCTGCCTGGCGGGCGGGTCGGGACGCCGCCGACTGCTCGCCTCCCGCCACCGCCTCCTCCAGGTTATAGTCCCTCCGGACGCCGCGGCCGGCCGCCGGGCCCAGGGTCCAGTTGTCCCCCCGCGCAGAGCTGCCGCCCGCTCCGACCTCGAGCAGGTCGGTATCGGGCTGCTCAGGGAGGTCATCCTCAGTGGCCGGCACCAGGGCGGCGGCGCGCGCGCGCAGCTCCCACAGCCGCTGGCGGGCCTGGTCGGCCTCCTCCGAGCCGGCCTGATCCTCGAGCAGCTGGCACAGGTTGAGCGTGTGGTCGGCGTAACTGAGCGCCGGCTCCAGGGCCTCGTGCTCCAGCAGCCGCTCAGCCATGGCCGAGAAGTGACGCACAAACATGTTCAGCACGCGCAGCGCGCGCAGACGCGAGTCGGGTCCGTTCAGCCACTGCATCTTGACGTGGGGGTCGGCGAAGTCGGGCAGCGGCCGGCGCCGCCGCCGCTGCTGGCGCCGTCGCTCGGCCGCCGCCGCCTCGGCCGCCTGGCGCCTCCTCAGCTGCCTCTGACGGTCCTGCTCTCGCAGTTCCTCCTTGGTGGGGACGAACATGGGATCGTCATCTTTGTCCTTGTCCTCAGCGTCCGAGGACGGTTCCTGTGAAGAGAGGACATTATTATGAAGACTGAAGACAGATATTTGCCATCGTTTTGAGAAGGCCCGACCTCTATCAAAAGGACGCCTCACTTTTACTAGTAAAACGCCTGTTGGGTGCAAAATGAGGGGACAAATCTAGAATTAGCCGTGAAATATTTTGTTGCAATCATTTTGTTTGTTAATTGGGGCTTTAGGCCGCGCCGACTACCAAGGTCATTTTCCGCCCATAATATTTAAATATTTGATTGCAGTTTTTAACATAATGGTCACAACAGTCTTTGAGCTAATTCGACTGGCCCTTACCCCTCTATCAAACTGCGTCTCTCTGATCGGCCGCACGCGAAGTGCGCAGAGCGCCGACTCACCTCTCCTGGCACCTCTCTGAGCGCCGGCGACGCCTCCTTCAGCAGATCGGTGCCGCTGACGGTCAGGTAGTGGAAGAGCTGCTGCCAGTCGAACTCCGGGAACGCGTCGCCGCGCACGCGCAGACGGCTGAGCGCGATCAGCAGGTTGGGCACCGGGTTCTCCAGGATGCGCCGGAGACGCTCCTGCGCCAGCAGCAGGCCCTCGGAAGTTTCTGACTCGAGCATGTTGCGCCTCGGCACAAAGTAGTGCTTCAGCTCGCGCTCTCGCACGCTCTTCTCGAGTGACCGCAGCAGCTCGACGAGTGATCCACCGAGCGCCTGGGGCCACCAGTCGCGAATGTTGCGCTCAAACTGCCAGAAGATGAGGTGCCGAATATGACGCTCGTGCAGACACCGAAACTCTGACAGGAAGTGTGTGAACATCAGCTTGGCCACCGCCCAGAAGTGCACGTGGACGGCCTCCAGGGAGCTGATGAGCCGCATGTCCGCCTGCTGGAAGCACACCTCCCACTCCACGGCCATCCTCCGCGGACTGAAGTGGCGCGCGGCGCGCAGGCCCTCGCGCACATAGCAGCCCTGCGGCACCAGGTTGCAGACGCCCTCCTGACACAGCTCCCGGACCACTCGCTCGGGCGGCCACTGGTACTGCATGCGTCGCTCCATGTCCACCAGTCTGGGACGGTCGCGGAAGCCCCACTCGAGCGCCGCCCGCGGCCAGCTCGAGGAGACCAGGGTGGGAGTGATGAGCGCCGTGGTGCGCAGGCCGTCGGCCAGCTGCTCCCGGCAGAACACAGTCGGACCGCGCAGGAAGTTGGTGTCGGCCTGCTTCAGCCACACATCACGGGCCATCAGCTTCGCCAGCTCACCGAAGTGGTCAGTAAAGTGGTTGACGAAAAGCTCCGAGGAAAGATAGCGGTGGATCTCCTTTCGCGATGGCGTCCAGTGATCCTCATCGTCGTCGTCGTCGTTTTTTATGATAATCTCAAACTTGCGGAAGCAGTATTTGGGTAGGTGGCCCGGCGCTTCGGACTCCTCGTCTGTCGTTGAGTCGGGCAGCATGACAAACGAGCCGTGGCTGTCCTCGCTGCAGACCGAGGAGGCCTGATCCGACGAACGAATTAGCTCACTCAGACTCCTCTTTCTGTGCGGATCGGGTTCCGGATCCTGAGTCCCAGACTTTCGCCGGATCAGACCCGCCTCAGACTGCTGGACTTTGGACGTTTTCCTCTGCCTCGTGGCGGCCTGGGTCGCGGCCGACTGAGGTGCTTTTTTGAATACGCCGACGGTTGCTCTATCATCCTCTGAGGATGCGCCAATGTTGGTTTTTTCATCCTCCGACGCCCTGTCGCTGGCATTAGCCGGACTTTGCACTCCAGTGTGTGGGTAGTATCCAAAGTGGCCTGGCACCATCCCCGTCGGGACTCCTGGCATCTGGTGGCCCGCAGACGCCTCCGTGACGGGAGCGCCAGCGTACGGATAAACGCCAAGGTGGGGTGGGAATGCGGGATACAGCGCATACGGATACCCGGGGATAATGCCGGGATACTGAGGCTGGGCACCGTCCGCAGCTGGAGCGTACTGTGGGAACTGACCCGGGTAGGGGTACGCGTTCACAGGATACTGTGAACTGTGGAGTGAGCCCGGTGGTAGCTGTGGAGTAGGATACTGCGGGTAAGTCATCATCGGTGGAAAACCAGGCATCCAGCCGCCCAGGGTCGGTACCGCTGGGTGATTGCCGCCGCCTTGGCCACTCTGACTGGGGACCGTTTCGGCCGCCTTCCTGTCAGGTTCTGTTGCCGTGCTGTGACCGGTCCCTGGGTTCTTTGAAAGAGACGCTTCCGGTGATGGATTCGGTCCAGTGTTGTCGGCTTCCTCAGAATTGACTATGACCCCTCGTTTTCGCTGTCTGTTCGAGGATGGTTTTGAAGACGGTGGTACACGCTGAAAGCAGAATTAGTGTCAGAACGGCACGCTCCCGCTCCGCTAGCGACTGGGGATGACGAAACATTTTACCAATTGCTACAACTGGAAAGGTGTAAATACGCTTTAGATGGGTGTGCTGGCACCAGGCACAACTACCGTCAAATGATATTTACCATTTGCGTGGCAGTGATTGACGTCGTAAAATTAATAGCGATCGCTTCCCTACTTCAAAGAAGTCAATGTCATTGATTTCGGTTAGGTCGTATACGGATTATGAGTCAAGCACCTGTGAATTTATGACGGCCTTATCTGGCCTCAACAGATCTTCATAAGCGCCACTTCCCGGCCATTCGCTGGTTTTCATTCCGACAACTGGTTTAGCTATCAACGCCAGGGGAAAGCCAATGCTCGGGAAACTGAACTTGATCTAGTGCACAGCTACCTGCGATCCATTCCAGTACTGATTTATCGCCACTTTTACCCAGAAGCATGGCCCGCGTCCTGTGCCGCCTATAATTTAGCACGGCGCCACTGACATCACAATAAATGTCGCGAATAAGCGCATTTCAAAATCTTGGTTGGGTTTAGCATTCGGTGCTGGTAAGGCTGTTCACAGGCACGCTCACGTACTGGGAAGACTGAGTCAGCGTTCACTGAATATTGACATAGGGACGAAAAAATCCTCGGAGATTGTGATAGACGTACGTACGTGGAATACCACTGGTTTATAGGTCTATGATATGATAGTAGTGATGTAAAACGAAAACAAGCCGATTTAGAGGCCCTTTTCATAGAAGGCAGTAAAAGGTGGTCGGTAGCAGCAAATACTCGTATATCCCGCGGTTACTGCGAAAGTGCAAAGCGTGCACCTTCTCTGGATAGATGCAATACAGCTGGTAAATAAAACGTAAACGACTTGTGAGCGCTTTGAAACGAACTGGCACCCTGTAAAATGAACACCTTTAGTTAACATTAAATTTCAGAGTAGAATTCCAAGTGTTATACATTTTGCATACGCATCACATTTCAATGCGCAGTCATTCCTACACGAAAACCTATGGTTGTGGTAAGAGCCCGCTATATGTAGCTGTAGCTGTGTGTTACCTGGTCGGAGGCGTGGTCATCGTCCTTTACTCGGAGATCGCCCGTATCCTGGGTGGACGACGGAGTCTCGCCGCGTTCCTGCGATCTTTCTTCCTCGGCAGAGCTGCTCATCCCATCAGCCGCGCCCCGATCGGAGAGGCTAGTTTGGGCTGAGTCGTCCCCACGGGTTTGTGAGGCCTTCGCTGGGTCGTCGTTCGGAGTAGCCTCTCGATCCCCTGCCAGGTCGGCTGGAGGGAGGGCCAGCTCTGCTGAGACGCCCACCTCTGCGCGCGGCGCGGGCTCTCCGGTCTCCTCCGATGCCTCCTCAGGTACGGTGCTGCTGCGCCTGCCTCTAGCCGTCCCCCTCTGTCTGTCAGAGCCTGAGTCACTCAGCACGCTCTCCGACCTGGTGCGTCTCAGCGAGGCTCTCCGACTGGCGGAGGAGGCTGCTGTCGGCCGGTCTCGGCTGGAGACGGACGCTGAGCGGCCGCTCCGGGAGCCGTCACCACCTCCGGCGACTGAGAGACGGGGACGACACGGGACGTCGGGCAGCGACTCGCCGCTCAGCTGCAGCTGCGTGAACCCTGTGGGAAATAATGGGAAGCTCAGGAGGAGTTCACTTCCCCAGGCGGAGCTAGTGAGCTTACAATAGAGTTCGTATTGTTCTAATATGGTCGTCTGGCACGAGTGTTACGGGCTACGGCTCCAAATGCTGCTGTTCCTGGTTAGAACTCCCTCAATAAAAATGCCTGGCCACTAGACTGCTTGGCACCGTGAGTCAGACACGCGGCTTCGATACAAGATAAAGTTCCCCGACGGGCCGAATGCAAAGATGAGATTTGGATTCTGCTTATCCTCGGCGGTGCTGAGGATATAACGCCAGAGGATTACATATATAGTACATGTGCCGCGGTTCTCAGACTCTCGGCTCGGTTTGGGAAGTAGGTACCAGATTGTGTTCAGACCCAGACGCAGCTCAGGTTCACCGTCAGCAGGTTTGTTTGACCGTTTCCATTATAACGCATGGGCGTGTACTTAAGTAATCAGCACAGCACAATCTTTGGTCTCGAAGCATGTCTTCTCTGATGTGCATTTACGACATTCCTGTTGGCTATTCTTATGTTTATCCCATTCCGTGGTTCCACCTGGTGTTTTTAATTCTCACCTGGATTTCTGCTGGGGATCATGACGAGCTTGTAGTCGGCGCTGTCACTCTCGTCCTCTGGCTCATTATTTGGCCTGACGGACACGTTGTCGTGCAAGATCAGGTACTCGAGGTCGTGGCCCAGGGCGCGGCCGGCGCCCGCCCGTCGCTCGTAGTGCATCACGTCACCCATGAGCTGCCCAGGGACGCGTAATGTCATCAAGGCGCGACCCGTGGCATAGCAATCGTCGTGTCGAGGAAGACGATGGGATGAATTCAAAGTAGGTAACTGGATAAAATTAACCCAGAAAATTAACTTTGTGTTATATACCTAGGCATTAAAATGCCGTAATGCTTGATGTGAGTGAGGTGCGAGATTGTGAACGGCTCTGGGCAATAAGTTCAACTCGTTTAATCGTTCGTGTGAATAATAAACGAATAACGATAAGATAAAACATTTATCCACAATGTCGTTCATGTTTTCAAAGTAGGTATAGTGCGACTTAGTTATTGAAGTATATGTGTTACGGCCCGTTTGAAAACCCGGCCCGTATTAATGCTGCCCGGCCCGCATTAATACTGACCGGAGACCTGGCCCGTATTAATACGGCCCCCGGTCAGCATTAATGCGGGCCGCCTGGCGGTCAGCATTAATACGGGCCGGGCAGTATTAATACAGCCCACTTTTTTCCTCACGGCCATATGAAAACTCGGGCCATATCAAAACTAGCCAACTAGTCTCTATTCCATGTCTTAGCAAATGCTGCGTAGGCCTGCAGTGGTTTTAAATGTCTTTTATACCTACTTTCTGACTGTTGGCTAGTAAATGTTTGTTTCGTGGTATCTTCAGCGTATAGACCAACCATACCTTGACCTTACACCATACATGACCTTGACACCCACCATAATGCATTGGTACAACATCATTTTACATGTTCCAGTGTTTAAAACCACAAGACTAGAAACACGCAGATATTATGAGCCAACATACGCTGAATTGCGATTCCGGCCAAACATTGTCTCGAGGATCAGGTCACAGGTCAAAGGTCATTTGGGTCAGGGTTATGAAATTTTAGAGCAGATGTAAAATTGAATAACTCGAGGGTACTGAAAGTTTCGTCGCGATCGGCCGTTTTTTACGCGAGTTATTCGCAAAAAAAAAAACGAGGGAGGGGTCCGTTCGACCCCCCCCCCCCTATAAGTGCGAGGGTTAAGTGGAAATCAGTGCTAAATTCCTCGAATTATGACATTTTCAAAATGAAGTTGCCATACTCTTTATGATCACTAGTTATTAAGATCAGAAAATGAAACAGATGCGTGATACGCTGATACTCACTGTCGGTCCTCCAGCGGTAATGGAAGAAATGGGCGCGCGGCAGTGTCGCCACTCCCTGAGGTGACCTTGGGCGATGTGTTAGACGTGCTTTTATTACCCTGGGCAACGTCTAGATGAATATTGCTGGTTGTCTCTACAAAATTATGATAAACCCTCGTTTGTTTTCTCTAAATGGTGTTTTGAACTATTTTAACCCGCGCCCCGCTGGGCTATTCAGCCATACGCGCCCTGCTGGGGGGGGGGGGGGGCAGATTCTGCCCCCCTTGTCTAACTTCCGAACCGATGGTCGTAGAAAGACGGGGAAAACGGCAATCGAAAGCTCTCAACAAGGCGGATCTTAAGAGTCCAATTTTTTGCTCAAGTAGGTTAGAGGTCAGGTCAAGGTCAGGTCAAGGGTTTTTTTTTTGTCTCAAGGTCAATGCAAGTTTCTACAGTATCGGCCTTGCACCGTAGTTGCCGAAGAATGGACTGAGACTGATTGCCCAATACGTGTTCTTAGACTACCAAGGCAATATTCGTTGCATACAATGTCATTCAAAGGTCAAGGTCAAGGTCATGTCAGGCCAGGTCAGGTCACCAAAAACAAAATACTGAAAAGGGCATGTGCGACAAATGTTTTATGGGTCACTTTACTCATAGAATTCAATAGGCACACTCAATAAGTGATATGGACCACCTCTGGATAAATTTCAGGTTGAGGTCAGGTCAAGGTCAGGTCAAGTGAGGTCAAATTTTGAAATTGGTTTTAAGGCCTAAAAAGGTGTCTATCTGATGCAGTTTTTCACGGCGAATCGAATGGTGCTATTTTTGTTTCCGTACGAGGTCTAGAACTTCCAAAAAAATCATTTTTTCAAAATTTTTGTGTGTCGTGACGTCATAAAATTTTGAATAACTCCCACATTTTTGAACCGATTCTTCTAAAAAATTGTTATGTAGGTGCACATAGACCACTTCTCTGACATATATTTCGTTTTTTTATACACTCAAAATTTTGGATTGTATAATTATTTTCCCAAAAAAGTCAGTTTTTTTGAGAAAAAAATTTGGGCCAAAATCCAAAATTTTCAAAAACCGAGATAGCCATTTGATAGACAAAGTGGAATCACGCATAACCTTTTTTGTAACGTCTTGATTTCTTTAAAAATGAAGATGTGAGCGGTGTTTGAAATTTTGCCGTTTTTTAGGCGAAAATGGCGAACATGACGTCACTAAAACGTCAATTTCTCAAAAATTTTCCGACGGATTTCGCTCAAATTTTCAGGGAACGTGTCAAATTGATGTATATTAAGGTACCGAAAGTTTGACGTCGCTGGCGTAACGCGTTTAGAAGTTATTGGCGAAAAACGGGAGGGGGGCAGATTCTGCCCCCCCCCCCAGCGGGGCGCGGGTTAATCACGTATAATAGCATCTATTTTCTCGAGCACGTTTTGTTCCATATCATTGCCGAGCACTGGTTTGAACTGCTTGCCCAATTCACTGCCTTTCGATCTGTTCGCTAGTCTCGGGGTATATGTTCCGGTCTTGTAATCGAATGGTTGTGGGTTCGAGGCGGGGTTGGCGAATATTTACACATGGCGTTCAACTTTTATCAGTAAGCCGCCGTCTATAAAAACATGCTAATGTAATTGATTTTGCAGCAGACGGATAAGTTTGGAAATAAAAGGTGGGCAGCATTAATACTGCCCACCTAAATCGGCCGCATTAATACCGACCGGCAAGGCGGCCCGCATTAATGCTGACCGGCCCGTATTAATACGGGCCAGGTCTCCGGTCAGTATTAATGCGGGCCGGGCAGCATTAATACGGGCCGGGTTTTCAAACGGGCCGTAACATATGCGTATGTTATGCGTTCCTTGTGAGATAAAAACGTTTATTTCGTACCCTTGGAATGCAATCGCTGCAATATCTACATATAATCTGAAGCATAATTGCAGATAAGATGCCTACCTCGTAAGGCGATCCAAGGTATATCGCAGATTTGCGATCTTTGCGCAAGATCCGGTTCAACTCCTGCTCCTTTTCCTCCTTCAATGCATACGCTCGAAGCTTATCCCTGCAAACAAATACAATTTTCATGATTTATTTCAATTTGAAAGTACACATATAAAAGACGGCAATCAACATACGTCAGCATCAATACGTAGCCGACGGGTGAAAGCTCGAGGAGCGTGACCTGCTGCAGTGGACAAAGCTGCAGGCAAACGTTGACGTCCTATTCATCAGTTTTTCTGGTCGCATCACTTCGAATCATTTATAGGCTTATCCTATAGGTACGGCACCGGCATGTATAGATAACCATATCCTAACAGAGTCGATTCATAAATATACTTTTTTGCTTGGTCACAAGTTAAAACAAATCCGTTAATTAAGCAGTCAGCATTCGAACGGTTTCATGAATCCAGATGATTTTCAACGACCAATAACTTTCCCTAAACAGCCTTTCGGCTCGCGCTCAACAAAGCGCACGTCCGCGCGGCTCGATAGTCAGTTTGCTGCGTGACCAATGCGTGACGAGTCCCAATCGCGTACAGAATGTACCGACGTACGTCTCATCTGTGACTTCATCCGATAACAGCGCGAACTCTGCCCCGCCGCCGCCGGCTCCTCTGTCCCTGCCCGCGGGGCATTGCAGGATGCGCCTGCAGCTCAACAACAGCGTCCCCGGCACAGGACCTCCCGCGAGCGCAACATTAGCTCTGAGAGCGGAGCACTCGTCTGCGATTTGGAGGACTGGGTACCGGGACTAGGCGGTCACATTAGCTGTGTGCTCAGACAATCACCGCGAGGTGCGTGATACACCACTCAGACTGCAGCGGAAGTGGGCTGTTTGAGGAGCGCCGGGTCGGCGGCTCGCTTTGATCCTGCGCAGGGACCGGCCGGGGGAGGGGGCGTCTGTAGGAGGACAGCGGCGATAGCGAAGCATTTTTAGATGATGTTTCTGCGGGTGTGTACAAGTGAGGGACAATGACCTTGGCAAGAGTGAATCTGGAGACAAAGTGTAGGTATCAGTAAGGTCGAGGTGGACAGAGCAAATTGATCAGTCGGTAAACAAAGTTACGGCCGTCCGAGTACCCGAAATGCGACAATAGTATGTTGAGTGAAATGAGATGCCGGGATCCTACGATGACATATATGTAAGTACAGTCATTCTTAAAAGTATACCGCGCAACAGTGCGGGGATCCATCAAACCCGACCGTGGAGGTACTGTTGAATCTGAGTCACCGAAGCAATTGACATCCTCGTCCATTCTCCAGGTCAATTGGTTCGGCGACTTTCAAATTATAGCAGGCCCTTCCTCGGTCAGGCTTGATGGTTCCACCATTACTTTGCGCGGTACTTTTAAGACAGACTGTAGGTACATACAACCAGACTTTCCGCTGAGTCTCACAAAAAAAGCAGCCAGGTGCACCCCCATAACTGAAGCCTCAATTTCCTGACCGTTAAAAACTACTCGTAGGCCAATGTTCACGACTACCCCAGCCTGAGAATCGTGCCATGCGTCCACACTACTTAGGCCGTCACGGTCAGCATCAGGTGCTTCTCAGTCGCTGAGAACTGTGCTTGTCACCTGTCACCACTTGTTCCTATCGTAGGCTTCGTCTGGCATGGGGTGACGAAATCAGTGTCTCAGCTCGGTGTCGATCAAACCTCAATCTGGGATGAGGAGGCGGGAACCTCACAGCGATTAACCGGGAAATCAGGCAGGTACATGATTTGGCCGAAATATGGATCAATATTGTCCCCAAAAATGTTCGGATTTATATTAACCGAAGCTGGTAGAGGGTAGTAACCCTCAAAATTCTGCTTTTTACATTGTAACCCCGTGAAAAGCATCGCTCAATGGCGAACAATATTGTTTATAGCAATCAGTGGCAAACAGAAAAATGAGTCATCTCACAGCTGCCTAAACGTCACGCCTTTGTCCACCCCTAGGCCCTACGCGATATCACAAAGAGCAGTTGACGCAATACCAGAGCGTCAACAGATAAGCAACGGCCTTTCTATCCATTTAGCGGATTAGGGAAACCTATTGAATTAGCGACTATCGGTCGCCCTGATGCGTCCGTTGAGATTGCAGATCGAGATTTGATGATAGCACAAGTCCTTCTAATGTCACGGTCGCTATCGCTGCATCTCCGGCCCGCCGGGGTCAGACGGTTTTAAACAGGCTCCGAGCCTGTCTCTTACAGTGGAATTTATGGTGGTTTACCCAGACATCCTTTGATTTAAAGTAATTATGTGCGATCGTTGGGTATCTCAACAGTCAACACGCATGATGATTATTTTCTCAAACAGCGCATTTATTTGATAACCACACATTTTTTTTTTAATTGGGGCATAAGGACGGTGGCCATTTTGCGCCCATAACGCTATGATGATAACGACGCAGTTTTGGGCTTTGACCAGCACACGTTCCGGCTTCCTGTTCATCCATCTCCCTCCTCTCTCAGGTCCAATTTCCGTCAGACTCTCGACATTCCCCACCTCACCTTTCGAAGTTTTTGAAGAAGTGAACGGCCATCATCATCTGGCTCATGATGAACAGCTCCGGTCTGTATTTGAACTCCTTCCGGAGCCGGTCCAGCGCGGCCTTCTGCTGACGCTCCCAGGCCTGCTGAAGGTCGGCCTCCCGGGCGGCGGCCTCCCGGGCGGCGGCCTCCCGGGCGGCGGCCTCTTGTGCGCCGCCCCCGCCGCCGCCCCCGCCCTCGGGGTCGGGGTGGTCGGCAGGGTCGTCGAGTCTCTCTCGCGGCCGGCGCCGACTGCAGCTGCCGCCCATGTTGATCTGCGCGGAGAGACACGGAAGGGAGATGGGCTCAATGAATGCCCGACAGCGCGCGCAATATTTATGGATTCTGTCTTCAAAGCAAGCTGATCCTTAACTCCAACAAGAGACTTTAAGTCACGGTCCTGACTCCTGAGGTTAGATTTGGACGCATAGTGATAAATTTTCATAATAAGCCGACCGAAATGCACCTCTACAGGGTGCGGCATAAGTTCTGGTACACTTTTTCTTTTATTAATTACCTAACCCTCGCCGGCACAGGCCATTTTGAGTCCTTCGACGGCACAAGGGGGGGGGGGGGTTGGTACGACCCCCCTCGCGTTTGGCCCCTGATGGAGCTAGAGCTTTGCGGAAAAAAGAGCGTGTTTGATGCCCAATTCTAAGGTCCTAGGTCATCGGTTGACCTTCCAGGTCAGGTCAATGACCCAAAAATCGGGAATATCGGGACCTATTAGAAAGTCGTAAGGCGTGCCTGCTAAGGGGTTTTCCGGGGTGCTGATCACGAATATCGTGTTAGTTTTGATCACAGATGATGTCGTTAAGCGTTTAGACCAGGTCGGGTCAGGTCAGGTGAGGTCAGGTCAGGTCAACCGGTAGGGGTCGTGACGGGTATTCGTAATACGTGTCATCCGCCTCTGACAGCTTCGTAACATGTTACGAAGGCACCAAAACTACTTCGTAAATGCTCAAATGGTTGCTAAATTCGAATTCATCTCCAAAAACTAGCCTAGAAACATGTAAAACTCGAAAAAGTGAACCGAGGTCACCAAAGGTCAATGACCTGACCTGACCTTCAGGTGACATTAACACCCACCCTAATGCATGGAAGCAACATCAAATCACATGTTTGAACGTTTGAAACCACGTAAAGCTTGCAAACGCGCGGCTAATGCGAGCCGACATACGCCGAATCGCGATTTCGGCCAAACATGGTCACGGAAAAGAGGTCACAGGTCAAAGGTCATTGGGGTCAGGGTCATGAAATTTTCAGGATAGGTGTAAAATTAATCAATGCGAGGGTAGGAGGAGGTGAGGGACGCGAGGCGAGGGCGAGGGACCCGGTAACGGAGACCCTGAGTACCGGAGACCAATTCCGTTCCGGCCGCCCCCGGTCCGCCCGCACGCCTCAGCTGAAAGCCCGCAGCTCGCAGCCGCGGGCTTTCAGTGTCTGTTTCAGCTGTCAGATTGTCCGCAACCCCGAGCGTTCTATGCGCCAAATGGCTCGGGACCTTAATGTGTCCGAGCGTTCCATGCGCAGACTCATTTCTAAGGACATGCGCCTGAAAAACCTCCACAAGAAGCACGTTCACTCCCTCAACGCTGCACAGCGCCACAAACGGAAGGAAAACGCTCTCAAGCTCCTCCGGACCGGGGGCGGCCGGAACGGAATCGGTCTCCGGTACTCTGGGTCTCCTGGTACCGGGTCCACGTCCGATACACAAGATTCTGCGTGCAGCGAAGCGTGCGACATATCTTTGCTACCGAGATATCTGCTATCTTCATGCAGACGATGGCCCCGCGAACTTTCTTTGTTGGGGAGAAAGGCGGCATGGTGTGCACTTAGCTGTCGGACGGTCAGTTACCATTTGTTTAATTAAGGTTCAGCTAGTAAATATTTTTTCATGATATCACACATGCTTTGACTTTACTTCATATAGATCCTCTACTGAAATATCAAATACTCAACTCTGTAAACCTGTTGCAACTCTTTTAATTAATAAAAGGTACCAGAACTTATGCCGCACCCTGTAAAATAACAGTCCTTGAAGACCGCATGCATAAAATACCTACTTGAAACCCACTCTACACCGAGAGCCTCATGCCCTTCAGCACTCTTGATAGGCTACCGCATGTCTTGTTCATTCATCCCCAAACCTCAATGACTCACCTCAGTGTAACAAAGATACAGCTCTAATCTCTATGCATTCACCCCTTCTACTTTATCTTCTAACCACCCGTCGTCTTCCTATCCCTCATTTGTAGACTGTTGTGCTTCACGTCTAATCTGACTCGCGCATAACACACGAATCTATCATACATGGCTACTATATATGATTCGATTCATCGTTCACTCACGCGGCTCCCGTTTTCAGTTTCCGGCGCTCACCGTTTGCAGCGGCTAGTGAACACTGAACAGGCCAAGACAGAGCTGCCTTGTTCAACCCACTTCTGGTGGAAAGGTCTTATCGTGACAAGCATGGGCCAATATGGGGCACTCGGGGCGCCTCAGTCGTTCGAGTGGGAAATGCCTGAAGTGAATTAAGTAGTGATTGAATTGAAATTGCAGACTTTTGCTAGATACACAAGGAACGCCCACGCTGGGAAGAATTAAAAACTGAAAAGTACATAGATTTAACCTATTACTCGGAACTCTACAGAAGAAAAATAATTACAATTTGTGTCATACGAGTATATCCCGTTAGCGTAAATGCATAGGTACGTACAATAACTCGACGACGTGACATATTGTGAAGTGCATGTCACACTCATCGATTGAGGGAAATGCTAACAAGTCATAGGTCTGGCAAAAAGTGTGCTTGCGAATCGAGGTCTTTTTGAACTTATTTTAAGTAGATTGGCAAATAGATGCATTTTTAAACGAACAGCAATTGAAAACGCTCCGAACCTGCAACCATATCTTATTGAAACTCTATTCAGGCTTTTCAGAGGTGCCAACAACGAAAACGTGTCCAAAGGGCAATAACTGAAATACCGTAATCCCTGATTGCTCCGCCTGTATAGCTGTATTTGTCAGCTCTAGCCTTCTACTAAAAGATGAATTGAGAACAACAAAACCTCTTTGCTTTTAGGTACAACTTCGTCGAGGCAAAATTGTGTAGCGATATTTAAAAAATATAAGAGTATCTTACACTGTAGACTGCATTTTAACCCTATTCCTGGCGGGGGGGCCTCAGGAGCCCCCCCTGAGGTTTTTTGGTTATATCTCCCAAACGCGTTGAGCTAGGAAGCTCAAATTTTCTGACTTTTCCTAAAAGGCTTCTACGCAACATGTCTGAAAATTTTGAGTTGATCTGACCTCAGGTCAGGTCACCAGAGGCGGTTTGGTGACGCTACCTCAGAAAAGTTTGCAATCACGCCAGAGCTAGAGTTTTTGACCGATCATTTTCTTCTCTTCAGGGTTTAGTTAGGGTACCAGTATGTGCAATTTGTATATCTCGGAATTTTGATATCGGTGACCTAAGGTCAGGTCAATTTCGCGACCTCCCCATTATAAGTCAATGGGGGAAAAAACAACTCCCTGTTTTTACCACTAAAACGGGTCGGAATGGCCCCATATACCATACATGACTTCATATACGATCAACCTTCACTACCTTGAGGTCTGTTTTGCTGTTGGGCAGCTGTGAGGTCATGTGACGTCATCAAAGGTCACCAAAGGTTTTTGGCCAATAACTCCGTACAGGAACAAGATACAGACGCGTGGATGGTCTCATTGTGTTCAGCTCGTCAAGACGCATCGAATGATATACATGATGACCTCGAGGTCACGTGACCTGAGGTCAACCTTTGACCTTGACCTTTCGAGGTCAACATATATATCATTCGATGCGGATTGACGAGAGGATCACGATGATGCCCTTAGTTTGTTCCTATCTTGACTAATTCGAAAGTTATTCGAGAAAAACTCTCTCTCTATCTAGTGCCGCCATTTTGACTTTTTCGACCCCTGTGACGTCATCTTTGACCTGACCTGAAAATGACCTTAGTAAAAATTGTAGATCTTGGCCGTGCGTATCCGATGCCGTTTACCGCTTGTCGCTATCTTGCTTCGTTCTCGAGATCTCAGGGGGGGGGCCGAATCGGCCCCCCCGCCAGTTTCTTGTCCCGGCGGAGCCCGCCAGGAATAGGGTTAAAGGGACCCTCCCACCTTAACATTAGTTTTGAGTTGAGATAGCCAAGTTTGCGGCCAGGCTCAGAAACCACCATTTATCCTGGTCGCAACCCCCGCAGCTTTATGGTGTTCAAGAAATTTCTTCCCTTTACTTGCAGGGTGGGACCAGCGTGGTCCCTATCTCTTAACCATTACGGGAATCTGATGACGTCATCAGGCTTTCGAACGTCCGTTAAATGTTTGACTAAAACGTTTTGTAGCACGCGGTGGTATATGCTGCTTTGCGCGCAACAAATGCCGCACTTTCAAATAAAGTCGCTAGGAACAGCGGAGATCCCAAAAAGTAAACAAAAGTAAAAGTCTAATATCTTGAAAACCGGTGAATATTTTTCGATGAAATTTGGTAGATATTCGTTTTTGCTCTTTCTGAACCGAGCGACATCACTTTCATGCCAATTCATTAACTTTTTTGAAGGTGGGAGGGTCCCTTTAAGAAGCTTTGCGCATAGACAGACGGGGAACTACCATTGGCTACCGCGGAGACGAGAAATGGCGTGACTGATAGCGTGAATCTGGTTTTCAGCTGAGTAATGGCGAGGACGGCCGCTATTTTGATAACCCGAGGGACGGCGAGCGTCACATGGGTCGTCTCACTTACGTCCAAAAATCTAATTTAAATGGACAACGTTATTATTCCATTCAACAAGTCGACCGTTGAAGCCGTGCCGCTTAACTACTTGTCCTGTTAACCAATACCGAGATTGTGCGCAGTTTGAGTTGCGCAAGATGTTGCTGATAGTGTGAACAAAGACGATAGTCCAGCAGAACGCACGCATCCGCTGCTGCCTACCTGGTGTACTGTGACGAGCTGCTGTTACCGGTGGGTCAGGTCTCCCCGCGAGCACCACCGGAGCCGCGCCGCTCCCCTGCCGTCGCCGACTGGCCGAAGTGACCGCGTCAGTCAGCCCAGCGCCGGCCCCGTGTCAGCGGCCACCGTTATCTCACAGGTGTGATTAGCGCGGCCGGACGACTGACAACTGCCGCCCACCGCCCGCCGCCCGCAGCCCGCAGCGCGCCGCCCGCAGTGGCTCGCTAGCCGCATACCGTCCACCGCCCACTGTCCACTGTCCACTGTCCACCGCTGGCCGTCCACATCCACTGTCTACCGCCCTAGAAATGCCCGCATTGGCTGGCAATAGCCCACCCTCTCGCCGCCTGTAGCGTGTTGTCCTAAAAATATATCAGTCATCGATAT